TTCACAGATGCTGCCAGGCTTGCTGAGCTTTTCCAGCAACTTTGTTTTTGTTCCTGATTTACAGCATCCGCAGTTCTTTTGGTTTTTATTTTGCAGGGAGGGTTGGGGTGTGGAAGATGTTCCGGGTGGTGGTTTTGATTGGAGTTGGTGGAGGTGTTTGGGAATGATATGTTTGATGTAAAGGCTGGTGGTGTGGAAAGTTAGGATAAGGGGGACCCCATCTATATTATGTTTGGAGGGGGTGGGTGGTAGTTACAATCTGTAGAGCGGGGAATGGCGGAGGTGTGGTAGTGGGCTTCCTGGACAACAGAGGGGGGAAAAGAGCATTGTTTGAAAAAGGCAGACATCTGGGATGCCTGGGAGTGGAACATCTCCTCGTCAGAGCAGACGCGACAGTGAAGGAGGAATTGAGAAAACAGGATAAAGTTTTTGCAGGATACAGGGTGGGAGGAAATGTAGTCTAAGTAGCTATGGGAGTCTGTGAGTTTATAGTAAATGTCAGTACGTAAGCTGTCGCCAGAAATGGAAACGGAGAGGTCAAGAAAGGGAAGGGAGGTGTGTTGAGATTGACTAAATGAATTTGAGGGTGGGTTGGAAGTTGTTAGTGAAGTCGATGAACTGCTCCAGTTCAGCCTGGGTGCAGGATGCAGCACTGCTGCTATCATCGATGTAATGGTGGAAGAGTTGAGGAACAGTACCAGTGTATGTACCGAAGAGTGTCTGTTAGACATAACTGACAAACAGGCAGGCGTAGCTGGGGCCCATTTGAATGCCCATGGCAATACCCTGGATTTGGAGAAGGTAGAAGATTTGAAGGAAAAGTTATTGAGGGTGAGGACTAGTTTGGCGAATCAGATGAGGGTATTGGTGGGGTGTGCTGGATGGGTCTGTTGGAGAGGAAAAAACTGAGGGCATGTAGGCCATCCTTGTGGGGTATGGAAGTGTATAGGGATTGAATGTCCATCGTATAGCTGAAGCGGTGGGGGCAAGGGAATTTGAAGTTACCAAAGAGATGGAAGACGTAGTTTATGCCCTGGATATAGGTGGCGAGTGCCCGTACCAAGGTAGAGAGAATGGAGTCGAGGTAGAAAGAGATGAATTTAGTGGGGTAGGAGCGTGTGGAGAAGATGGGTTGGCCGGGGTGGTTAGGCTTGTGGATCTTGCGGAGCAGGTAGAACCGGGCAGTGCAGGGCTGGAGGATTATAAGGCTGGAGGCGGTGGAGGGGACGTGACCGGAAGCGATGAGGTCATGGACAGTGTGGGAGATGGTGGCTTAATGGGCCATGGTGGGGTCATGATCAAGGGAGAGATAGGACGTAGTGTCGGAGAGTTGGCGTTTGTCTTCTGTGATATGAGGTCCGTCCTCCAGACTAGCACTGCCCCACCTTTGTCAGCTGGTTTGATAGTGAAACGGGGATTGGTGTGGAGAGAGTGGAGCACTGCACGTTTGAAGCAGGAGACATTGGAGTGGGTGATAGGGGTGGAGAAATTGAGGCAGTCGATGTTGCGTTGGCAGTTAGCAACGAAGTGGCCCA